TGTTACTAGGCATAACAGTGGCTTAATTAATGGAAGTAAGTTTGGAGTTGCTGCTACTTTTGAGAGTGGGGGGAAATATGAAATTGAGGTTTGAAATTTGAGGGTATCCACTGGACACCTTGGTGAAGACATTCATAAAGTAGTTGTAAGTGTGAGGTAAACTCAAACATTGAGGCCAGAAAGAGATTTGGGAGGTGAGCTGGGATTGTGGGAAAGGATGCACAAAAGAAGAGGACTGAGTTAAGAGAGCTTTTTTTTTTTGTTTGTTTTGTTTTTCTACTGGCACCCGGAATCAAACTCATGACCTTGTGCTTGCCAGGCAGGCACTGTGCCACTGAGCTAAATCCCAGCCCCAAGAGAGCTTATTTATGTTTACATCTGACATATGAAAAGAAAAGGCAGGGACAGCAGTGGGGGAATAGCATATTTTTGTGGATGTCAGGTGTCAAAAGAAAGGTCAGATCAACACTTTCACATTCTATAAAATTTAAGGACACAAGCATGGCCACTGAGTTTTGGGATTTGTCACTGGAGAACTGTGGCAAAGAAGTTTCAGTAGCCTTGGGTAGGAGTCAAGTTGGCAGAGCCTGCGAGTGTTCAGAGGTAGGAGGTGGTAAGTGAACATTTGCCTGCTTTGATGGGAAGAGAACAAGACAGTGGCTCCGTGGATTAGGGTAGTGTCCCTCAGCCCGAGCACCACTGACAGTTTGTGCCTAATAATTATTTTTTAAAATTTTTTTTGTTTTTTTTTTTCTGGTACCGGGAATTGAACTCATGACCTTGCGCTTGCCAGGCAGGCGCTGTGCCACTGAGCTAAATCCCCAGCCCTGTGCCTAATAATTCTTTATTGTAGGAAGATCCCCTTCCTCCCCAAGCTATAACAATCAAAGATGTCCTTAGACATTGTTCAGTGTCCCTCGGGGACCAATCCTCAGGTGAGCGCTACTGGTCTACAGGGTTCATAGGATTGCTGCTGCGTCTATCCTCTGTAGTGATTCCCTTTACTGTCAGTGATGCTTGGTCCATTGCTGATGTTGGGGAAGGAGCAAGTTCAGACACAGTGAAAATTAGAGACAGCTAGATGACACTGATGCAGGGTCCTAGGGAGGGTGGGAGGAAACAAAGCAAAACCACTCTCTAGAAAATGCGTTTTGAGAGGATAGAGATCCTCCCACCCACCCCTCTTTCTTTGGAGTGATAAAGATTACTGTAGCTCATGGTAGATGGCTTTGAACTTCCTAATAAAGACAGGAAAAAAGGGTCATCTGAGAATAAGTAGACAAGGCCAGTGTTTGGCAATTGTGGGAGTCCCATATCTGTGTGGATTCATACACAGCAAAAGCATTACAGAGCTGCAGTTAGGCCTGGCTGAAGAGGAACTTCAGAAACTTCATGAAGATATTAATGTCTTAATGAAAATTACTAAAAATACTAAGTTTGGGGTAGAAGAAGGCCTGTAACCTAATCATTCTGACTCTTTATTTGTGCATTTTACTGTTTAGATTTGATCTATGTTTTTATTTTGCTTATTCACAGAACATTGTAGATTTCAGTGTTACTGAACTGTCATTTCAGTTAATTTTTATAGCTACATAATAGTGTATGGATTTGTTTTAAATTACCAAGGCTGTTTCCAGTTTAAGTTGCAGTTAACCTTTTTATGCATAGAGCTTTGACAAATTTTATTAGCAGATGCAGTAAAGGTTTTTATATTTTTAACGCAGAGTAGAAAATATATTTGCTTCAGTGTTATCCAGTACATTGAAAATCGCAACTTTCATCTCTGCTTAATTTTTCTTCACAACACTTGCTGTCTTTTGTATATATTTTACTTACTTACCTTGCTTTTTCTCCCTTGCTGAGTATATAAGCTACCAACAAAAATGAGTCTTGAGTCAGCACCTTGACTAGTGCCTGGCAAATATTTGATGGATGCATGAATGGTAGAATTTACCCAGACCTGTAGGCAAGATGGGTATGGCAGCGTAACAGTGGCAGTAGGTATTCGCGGAAGCCTGTGGGAAAATAATTGCAATGACAGGTCTTTCAAGGAAGTAGAAAGCCACAAAAGTACATAGAGGCAGTGAGTTGGGAGATTGAATAGTTAGCACCTAGAGCAATGTGACAACAAAAACATACTCCTCTTGAGGGAGAACATGGGAGAAGTAGAATGTAAATAGGTTGTGGTTAGTGAAATGAATTTCTGAAGATTTAGATAATAAAAATGAAACAGTTCGAGAGTTAATAGTGGAAAGGTTGATGGAATGTTCTCTTTTGCTGAGAATAAGCTGTATCATTTTTTAATTGACCCTTACTTGGCAAAGAGTCCATTGTAAACTTGCTATATTTGGTTCACATTGAGTAGTGGTAGATGAATCAGGTTTTGTTTTTGAAAGTTTTTATTGGAATATGGCTGTACAGTATATGATAATCTGAGCAAGCAGATATACCAGTATTGTCTGTCATACAGTTAATTAAGTGCAGTCAGAGACAAGATCAACCCCAGCTTGAAAGCTAAATTTCCAGTTGTCTCCCCTTCATTTGGTATAGTGGATTGACTTCCTGAGTCATTCCATTGTCCTTTGAAGTGACTGCCCTACAGGTGCTTTTCTGTTTGAGATCATTTTACTCAGAGTAGAACACTTTGGCAAATACACAAAACACTCAGCATATAACATGCTAATCTTACTTTAAGCAACTATTAGGCAACCACTATCAAATATGGAAATTACAATAGCATTCTTTTGGAGCACACTTGTTACTTTGAGCCAATGCATGATTTTCCATTATCTTACAGATTTTCTACTATACTATTCCATAACTTTAAAATTCCCATTTTTTTCTCAAGTGAATTACTAAATACAGAGAAGTATGATTTAGTAGGAAAAACTTTGTAGAGGCAGTTGAAGTACTCTTTTATATTTTTTAACAGACAGCATGTCTGTTTCTAAATTCATTAGTTTTTTGCATGTTAAAATAGGACAGTGATCTCAGATCTAACCTTTCTCCTTCCTCCTAGAATCTCTAGGATACTTTATCATTGTACTATTTGCTTATACTTATGTGAGATGTAATACATATAATATGGGAATCCCAAGATGTTAATGTCGTAAGAAAGAGAAAATAAAGAACATTCCACAAACTGAGGAAAAAGTTGATGGAAAGCATAATCTGCTAAAAGATTATTTTGCCTAATCTTTTAGCTATGAGGCATCTAGTCAGAATAGAGGATTATTTTCGGTGTGTTTAAAGGTTTCAGAGGAATAGGGTTTTTCTTTTCTTTTCTTTTGGTTTTTCGTTTTTCTTCTGGTACCACGACCTTGTACTTGCCAGGCAGGCGCTTTGCCGCTGAGCTAAATCCCCAGCCCCGGGTTTTTCTGGTAAATGCAGGAAACAAGAAAGGAGGAAGGGTTACTAGGAATTACTTTTACATGAATGCAAGCAAGAAGAAGTTAACAGGGAATATCATTATGGGACTTCTCTATGCCAAATACTGTAAGCACTTCATGTTCATTTTCTCCAGTCCTCAGACTAGTGCTTGAATTGTAACATCCCTGTGTGTACATTATAGAATTAAGTCCCAGAGAAGTTAAAAAACTTGTAAAGCATCAGATAGCTAGGAAATAGAAGGAACTGGATTTGCATCCAGCAGTCTCCCAACTCTGCCTTATACCTGATCAAACTATCAAGAGCAGACAGTGACACCAAGGATTAATGCACCAGAGATTTATATTTCTGTTGAATGCAGAAGGAACTGGTTAACATTTGAAACATTTGCCAGAGTATAATTAGGGAGAATATAAGATTGTAGAATAAGAGAATAAGAATGATACACTCTTATATCAGAATATAAGAATATTTCATTGTATACTTCATCTTTCGGGAATTTCCCGAAATTCCTTTATCTGCTGTGAAAAACACAACATAGAGTGGCTAGGTATTGCAAGCAGACATTATGGGCATGGATTTATCTTCCAGAAGTAATACGTAAATTTGAGGTGCTGTGGTCTTTATAGAAGAACTCTACTTTCTTTGATCACAGAATTGGCTTACAGTATTGGAAAGGTCATTAGAACCACATTCAAGAGATTTTCTGTGTTCATATGTGATGTGTGTTTTGTTTGTTTGGTACTGAGTATTGAGCCCAGGAGTGTACTACCACTGAGTTACACCCCCACCTTTTTTATTTTTTGAGACAAGGTTTCACGACATTCCTCAAGCAGACCTCATATGTGGAATCCTTCTGCCTCAGTCTCCTGAGTAGTAGGGGTTCATGTGTGTACCACAATGCCTAGTGAGTTTTCTTGTTTGAGACCTGTACCACAAATGGTTGGTTATACGCTTGAACTCTTGTCAGCTTTGTAGGTATATACGTCTATGATGATATAAATTGAGTGAAATTTAATTTTTTTAATTAAAAAAATTGAAGTTCTACCAAGAGCTTCATTTAAAATAGGATTTTTAAATTTTGTTGACAAAGACAGTACAATATGACATTGTAGTTTTTTGTGTGTTTTTGTTTTTTTGTTTCTGTGTAGTTCAGGAAATTTTAAGCATTTCCAGTATTGTTTATAAAGTCAGAATGTGCTTACATGGGTTGGAGTGATGGGTTCTTGCCTTTCCAATATAGTCAACCATAATTAGCACATGCAGTAACCTATTTAAAAGCAATTCTTAATAAGTCTTCTGTGGAAAACCAGGCTTACACTTCTTCATTATTTGGTTATTAGCATAATATTAACTACTTTAAAATTTGACCTTTTTAAAAATGTTGATCCAAAGAACACACTTAGGGAGGAATCCTATACTTTTAAATTGAATCTTTTTGTGACCTCTTAGGAAAACAGCGGGCTTTGTTACATGCTGAATCATGGAAGAGTTATATAAGGAAAATTTTTACATAGAACAATCAGGTTAGAAATGACATTACACTTAAAGGGCCTTACACCAGTGCCTTGCACATAGAATTCATATGGTAACCAGTAATTGCTTGCTTACAGGGAGAATGCTGGGGAACCAGATTCCTGGAGCAGTTTATCCTATGAAATCCCTTATGGAGACTGTTCTGTGAGGCATCATCGGGAGCTGGACATCTATACTTTGACCTCTGCATCAGACTCCAACTGTGAAGCCCCATATCCTGGAGACAGTTGCTCTGAACATATTTTAAAACTTATGAACATCCAGCAGCAACTAATGGTAAGGAAGATGGTTTTCTTTTTCAGGTGTGTGTGTATATATCCATCTTGCCCAGTGAACCTTGCTATACTCAGAACATAAAAATGCTTCTACCAAAGATTGTGAAACCTGTAAAGCAATATTAGTAGTATTAAATATCAGCACTTAAGTTTTAAACTAGCATTAGGGTTGTAGCATAGCAGTAGACAGCTGAGATTTTAAAATTGATTTTTGCCATGTTTCTGAAGTAATGAAAAATATACATACCTGTTGGAAACATAGAAATATACAACAACTAGAACTAAATTCCTGCACATGAAATATGCCCGTGTTTGGTTTAACTTTATAGAACTAAATGAAGAAAACCAGTTTATGAGATTGTTGCTAAAGAACAAGAACCAAATTTACTCATCAATAAAGCCTTTCACAGCTATTTTAGTGAGTGATGAAAACATTACTATATTTAAATTGATAGTTAAATGGTTTAAAAGATCACCAAAAATAAAGGTTTTATAATCCACACAAGTCTGCAAGATAAAGATGTTTTTAAAAATAAAAGCATTGCAGACTCCTTGGAAGCATTAATTATGGATAATGTGGATATCACGTGTGTATCTCTCTTAGTCATAACATCTGAAGGACTAAGTTGAGATAATTTTTCCACTCAGTTTATTTCAGGACTGATTGGATTTGGAAGCCGCTTAATAATGATTTCATTTAAGGTTACTTAGAGTCAGCTCAATGCCAGCATTTTCTTTGGGAGCAAGCATTGTTTCTGAGGCCAGCAGGCCAAGAAACTCCATAGTAGGGTTGTCAATGTGCCTGCCCTTTTTTTTGTTTTATTTTTATTTTTTTGTTTTTTTTCCAGTACCGGGAATCGAACTCATGATCTTGTGCTTGCCAGGCAGGTGCTGTGCTGCTGAGCTAAATCCCCAGCCCTAATGTTCCTGCCTTTGCCTTTCAAAATCATGTTTGTTCTAAAGCAGTAATTTTATTTTCCTTTGAGTGGACTGCTCAGGAAATCAGATTTTTCTCTTAGAACTCTTTTTACTAAGTGAATGATAATCCACTTGAAAACATCAGTTTGCAAATCTGAAAGCTCTTTACAAGGTATGACTGATTGATAAAAAAACATGAGAAATTTAACTTATGGAAGGATGCATGTGCTAGGAGCTTCTCAAATTCTTCAGGTTTGTTTCGCCAGATCTCTTTTCCTGTGATGTCCACCTTTCATTAAATCTGAAGGACTGATGGCCTGCTTGCTTGCTTGTTTGCTTTCTCCCTCGTCCCGCTCCTCCCCCTCCTTCCTTCTCTGTCTCTCTTTCTCTCTCTCTTTCTCTCTCTCTTTCTCTCTTTCTCTCTCTCTTTCTCTCTCTCTCTCTCTTTCTTTCTTTCTTTCTTTCTTTCTTTTCTTTTCTTTTCTTTTCTTTTCTTTCTTTTCTTTCTTTTCTTTCTTTTCTTTCTTTCTGTACTAGAGATTGAACTGAGAGTCTTCCTACTGAGCCCTCTCCTCTCCCTCACCTTTTTTGAGACAGGGTCTTGCTCAGTTCCCCAGACTGGGCTCAGACTTGTGATCCTTCTACCAGAGTGCTAAGATAACAGACATGTGACACTATTCCTGGCATACTTTCATAATTTTTAAGAGGCTATCATATTTTTGGCAGGAATGAAAACAAGTTAATGTTGAATAATTTAAGGAAGGTAGCACATGAGACATGAGCCTTTAGTGAAACTCCACTTTTCTTGTACTCTTTAATAGGACTTTAGTAACTATCACACATTATATTGTTTTATGTGTAAACATCTACAATAAATTCAAAAAGTAGATAGGAATAGTCTAATATATTTACTGAGTAAATAAGCAGACAGATGACAGTAGTACAAACGGTTACAGTACATCAAACAATGAGTAGAGAGCCAACCAGGTGTTTTAAAGTAACTTTTATGTATTAACCAAATAGTATTAGAATAATTGCTGAAATTTTGATATAAAGGTAAACTGATGAATGATCTATCCGTATTTTTTTCCATTTTTCCTAAGCCATATCTGCACATACAGGGAACTTGTGCATAATGCGTTGTATTTATTTTTTCAATATTGTATTTTTTTCTGCTTGTGCTGTTGTCTTCATACTTACTATTTATATAGCAGCATAGAATTCCTTCCATTGAGTCAGTGGTCTATGATTATCTTAACCATTCCCTTGTTGGTCGTATTTATCAGGAAAAATACTTCAAAGTTGCAGAAAATATTTTTGAGATGATTTATAATATCCTTAAGCCATAGTACCCTCTGTCAGTGAGTGAGTTAGGTAAGATTAACAGTGTTTGCTCTCGTTTATTGAATATTCAGTATTTGAGAACACAGGAACTGCTAATTTTACCAAAAACAGTTACATCTACCATGCCACTGTTCTTGAAATTATGAACCCAAAACTGAAATATTTAAATAAACTAGACTGGGGCTGGGGATTTAGCTCAGCGGCAAAGCGCCTGCCTGGCAAGCGCAAGGTCGTGAGTTTGGTTCCCGGTACCAGAGAAAAACCCCCCCCAAAAAAATAAATAAATAAACTAGACTGAGGTGATCATATTTTGGGGATTAAAGAACAGTGTGTAACTTCTCAGTAAGTACGGTGGTACCTCAGTTCAAGAACTTAATTTGTTCTGATTCTGTGAAAGATGGTCATCATGTTCGTGTTCATCACCTGATGCAGAGTTTGCCAATGGAAGCAAAATTTTGCCAAACACTTCTGTTTGGGAACTGAAATGTTTGTGAACTAAGATACTACCAATATTTAAGTATAGGAGCACTCACCTGGGTTTTGTAGTTGAAGGGTTTATGAAACCAGTTACAATTTGTTTTTACTTGAGGTGGAATGGAAGTCAGCTCTTTCCTTTTAAAGACTGATTAAAAAATATTTTCACTTTGCTCATTTGAAGATGTTTAGAATGCCTCTTTTAAATTAAGGTTTTTGAGATTGTTTTAATCCTTTGTATAATAGTTCAAAATGTAACAAATAGTTACTAAGTATATTCTTTTTGGTTTTTTGAGGCAGGGTTTCACTGTGTAGTTTAGGCTGGCCTTGAACTCAGTATGCCTCACAGGGGACATCCTGCCTCAGTCCCCATCCCCCACCCCCATCTCTACCCCAGGTGCTGGGATTACAGCATGCACTGCCACACCTGGAAGCTATGCATATTCTAAGCCATTTTTAACATCCTAGTGGCTGTGTAGATACAAGAGAGAAAAGTGCTATCAGGAATGAGAAAAAATTAATTTGTATTTGCTTAGATCAGGTTATCTTGCGACCCTAGAAGGACTAGAATGAGGAATTTTTGTCCAACAGAATTTTGCTTATAGGTGTCGGTGACATCTTCTCTTACCGGCAGTTTTTTATGTGTATCTTGATTTTCTCCTAGAAAACAACCCTCCCACAGACGGACAGTCTTTTGCCTGCCATGGTGACAGCACAGGACCCTTCCAGCCTACCCAGTGCCCTGGAGATTAATGGCCAGACTCTTCCTTGTGCACCAGAGTCCTCAGACAACCAGCAGCTTTCTTCTCCTGAAGAGACTGAGAGCTTCCACAAGAGTCCTGTTAGGCAGATTGAAAGTTCCTGTGATTCATCACATGTGACTGAGGAAGAGAATACAAACTGTTCTTATAGGAAGAAAAGTAAAGGCATGCAGAGAAAAGGGGAAGAGGTGGAGCCAGTGCCTATTGTGGACTCAAAAACTGTGTGTGATCGAGACAGCTGCCTTCAGAGCATGCCTGACTCTGGAGTAAAAGGTCCAGAATGCCCTTTATCCTCTGGAAACAGAAATGAAGAAACTGGAACAAAGTTTTCTGTAATGACCACAGACCAGGAGGCTCTGTGTAACAAAGAGAGTTTGCTGCAGGAAGGCATGATCACAGAGCTGGGCAGGGCCCAGGATTCCTCTGGAGGTAAACTGGCAAGTGGTTCAACAGATGTCAGCACCCCAGAGAGAGCAGTGAAAATGAAACATAGCCTCATGAACTCAGGTGTCGCCATCCAGAACAGTATGTGTGAAGCAGGGGCAAGTATAAAGGAAAGATTTGAGAACTCTAATATCAGCACAGCTGAAGCCACCAACATACAGGTCATCAGTGAGCCTGTAGATAAAGCCAGTATTCCAAGCTGTCCCTCTGCCACCAGCATCCTGGGTGGCAACAAAACTGATGATCCTTCTCTTACACTTAGTCTTGGAGAAATCCCTGGTGAAAAAACAGCAGAAACTGAAACTTTGAGAAGTTGTGAGCCATGTGCTGATGATCTCGGAGATCAGGACTCTCTGGTAATTACAGCTGCTGCAAAAGACAGGAGCTCAGATGGATTAGAACTGGACGTTCCTGTAGCAGCCATTTGTGAGGCACTGCCATCCTCAGAGTTAACGTTTTCTGGGCTAGAAAGAGATGTGCTGCCAAACCAGAAATCAGAAATGAATTTACCTCATGTTAAAAGTGAAAACAGCAAATTACTAGTTTGTTCTACAACTGGAGATGATAAGCTTGGCGCTGATTCTGCATCTCAACAGAACACAGTGACTTCTAGCGGTGAGATGGTTGCAGAACATTGCAGTGACATAGTTGACCCGCCTGGAATCACCACAGCAGGGCAGCCCGACACACAAGACCCACCCACTGCTGTCTGCCAGGAAGACCCACAAGCAACTACAGTCCCTTCTGACCCTTTAAGAGATATCCAAGAATGCATGGATTTTTGTTCCCTCGAAGCTTTGGATAAAACAGGCCAAGGAAAAGATCTGAAAGTAGATACACCTTTAATAACTGTGCTTGAGGCAGCTTCACATCTGCATCCATTGGACCCTAAAACTGAGAAAGAACTGGGGCCAGACCAGGCAGTGCCATCAGGCAGCACTTTCCCTCTGGCAAGCAGTCCAGGCAGTGAATCAGTAACCAAAGATGACGCACTTTCTCTTGTCCCCTCCCAGAAAGAAAAGGGAACAGCAACCCCGGAACTACATAGGCCTACAGTGTATAGAGGCAGCCCAGCCGGAGGAGATTCAGATTGTCCTGATAAACAGCTGCTAGAAGACAGCACTGCAGACCTGTCCACGTCCTCTGCTGCTGTAGATCTTCAGCCCAGCATGGGGAATATCAATCCTGGAGGACTTGCTGGGGAGCATGAGAGCCCTGGCCCCTCAGCACCCCCTAAAGTTCTGACTGACTCTTCGCTGCTAAGCATGGATAAGGCCACTTTGGCCTCTAGCTCAATTTTGACTGAAGAAGGAAAAAATGTGGCAATTCCCCAAAACTCTGAAACTCTGGGACAAGATGACAAAGATAAAGCAATGACTTGCTCCTCCATGAAGAAAGACATGCTTTCTTCAGGAATGTTGCCGGAAGTGCAGAGAATGCCACCTCCTGGACAGGAGACACCAGGATCCTGTGAAGAGCCTATCTCAGCTGTCTGTACAGAAGACAAAGCACTTCAGCCCAATAATTCACTGGTCACACCCTGTGTCTGTCTGAAGGGAGAAACTGAAAATAACAAGGAAGTGGGCCCACAGGTCTCCCTGCTGGCTGAAGGTGGGGCCACACAGAGTCTGGTGATACCAGGAACAAGTCTGGCAGCAGACTCGAGGCAGGAAGCCTTGGGTACAGAGCAGAACAGCTCACTTCTCTTGCCACATTTGTTTCCAGATGTGTCTGAGGAGCTTAATGGCAGTCAACCTTTTGCTCTGAATGTTGAAGTGAAGGATACTGAATCCCAGGGGAAAACCAGAACCTGTGAAGTGAGTGCAAATGTGACAGTGGATGTTCCCGGGGCTAATACCCTGCCAGGTCCTGATGCGCCCAGAAGAAAGGATATACCACATAACACCCAAGACATCCCAATTTCAGAAGTTTTGGTGACCCAGGAGAAGAGTATGGCCCTAAGTTTGCCAGGAGTTTTACCAGACAAAGGTATGACCAGCCCACAGGAAGCTACAACCCCAGCTGTGTTACCTCTTGCTTGGAAGAAAGAGAAGCTGGAGGAAGCAGACCTTGGCAGTACGACAGGTGACTCCAAGGAGGTACAAATGGATGATGAAACACTGGAGCCTGCTGTGGAGCTTCCCACAGAGATAGGACTCTCCACTTTTGATGACAAGACCCCAGATGTCAGGAGGGGAGTCACACAGGTCTCAGCCTCAGACAAGCAAGCTGCATATGTGCCTGAGGAAATGGACTTAGAGGACGCTGCCAGCCGTATAGTGGAAGCTGTCATTGAACAAATCAAGGCCTCAGGAGCACTGATTACTGACAGAGAAATCTGTCACATGTCACTGTCCAGTCCTGAGTCAGGCCCTATGACTGAAATACCAGAGGAGGTTTCTACAGAGAAAGTACAGACCCTGCAGATGGATGGTACTTGTGAAGAAGCCACAAGGAACCTCACAGGAATCTTCCTTGGAAGGGAGGAGCCAGAGAACATCGCTCTGCCTGTTCAGAGGCAGGAGCCAGCAACAGGTAAGCAAAGCAAAATACAAAATGAACAGTTTCAGAGGCGAGTTCCTCTCAGAGTCTCTAGGGTGTGCTAGTAAAAATATAGGCATCTTTGTTATTTTATTTTAAGGTCTTGCTTGCTCACTGAGTAGGTTGCCAAGTTAATAGTCACCACCATCAGGGGATGCACGTCATCTTAGGGTTGGAAAGATTTTGCTTCCTGTACTGTAGATTCATAGCTTCATTATTTAACTTATGAATGCTCTGTCACACAGTAGCTATTGCAACTTTCCAAACCTAGAAGACAATGCCTAGATCGCAGATGCCTTAAAAAGATGAAGGAATTTAGCAAATGTTTTTATTCACATAGCCTAGTCCTTTTCTTTAGAACCATGAAAAACACATCCTGCAGAGGATGTGTTTTATTTACAAGCTTGAAACTCCCTTCCTCCCTGTCATCCTTTCTGAATTCTAGGCAAATTCAGAGTCAGAGTGATTTCATGCACAGCTGTAATTACCATTTTAAGCTGATGGCCCAGCATCCAAAATGATGGCATTAAGTCATTGGTTTGCTTGAGGGTAGCTCCCCCTTTTCCTGTCCAAGTAGCAACCTCCAGTTCTATTGCCTGTTCCATTGGGGCAGAGTCTGGGAATTCAGGACCCTGCACAGTGCACGGATAGGATGCAGGATTTCCGTCCAAGCCCAGCCTGCTGAGCTGCTGTCACTGGGCAGACCTTGTGTCTGCTTATCTTGGTGAAGCAGCTGCACTGAGCAGATTGCTCACAGCAGCCTGTTCCATCTATGGGTAACCATGTCTAGAGACAGCAAAGAGAAACCACTCTTGCTCAGGGGAAATAAACTGTCTGAATTAAAACTTTGTATTGCGGGTTGAGACTAAAGCTGAAACTGGAGTCGGTCTCTGTCTTAACTTCTGAAGTCTTTAAAGGTCAGTTGGATGCATACTTTTATGCCACTACCTGCTACCAGCTGTAGAAACAGGACTTGTCTGTATGCCTATTCCTATGCGTTTGTAGGTAAGAGTTAGCCTGTTTGTCTTTATTGTTTAATTAGTTTTGCTGTTCTTTTTAATTTACGATAATACTTTTAAGTGTGTACATGTTAAGAGTGGAGGTGGGGTATAGAGAGAACAGACAAGAAAAAAAGTGGCTTAGGGAGAACAGTTGAAACACAGTTTATTTTTCTCCTTTAAGGACTTTTACCAGTTTTTATCTCCTCTCCCGTGAGGGATTTAAGGAACCTGGATAGAATTTTTGGTGATTTCAGGTTTTTTCATTTGTTGCTTTAGATTACTAGCAATAGAAATGTGTTGGGTGCTATGTCAGAATTTAAATGAGAAGTTCTCTAATTTTTAAAATGAGACACAACAACAAGTCTATTTTGGGGACCATTGGCAGGTTGGCATTTCAGAAGAATGGGAGTGGCTGTAAGTTGATGCCTGGCTATGTTCTTTTCATTTGGGTTGTCTGTCCTTGCCTCATGGGCCAGAGTTACTTCTCCTTTTGGCTGTGGTCAGAATTTAAACCAAGGTACTGTAAACTGTGAAATTCTCTGTGAGAAAATGTAAATACAGAGAAAATTTCAGACTTAGGTTTTTAATAGCATATAACAGTAAAGATACTAAGAAATAAATTTTAGGGTTTTAAAGTTTTAAGAAGGAAGAAATATACCAAATTTCAACAGTGAATTTGGGGTCAGTATATTTTGTGTAGGTGAATTACTTTCCCTGCTACTAGAGGGAGTCATAATAGTCTCCATGTTCATGGTCTCAAACTATGGAGAAAAGTAACCAGTGGTGAAGAAATCTGTACTTTCTTCAGAAAATAGTCAGGATTGGGAAAGTCCGTGGTCACATTGCCCTAGAGAAAAACCACCCAAATGTGATATCAGAGCCAAAGGGTATTTTCTATGAAGTTTACATTCTATTCATGGATTTAATGATGTTGTTTTATGAGCTTGGAACATGATTTGCAAGGGGCCAGATAGAAGAGGATGATGTGGGTCTTTCACCCATTAGAAGCGTTGATCACAGTGCTTAGGTTGCTGGTGGTGCATACAGAGCCATGCCAGAGTTTCAGCACCTCTCAAGTCTTAGTAGTCACTGTTTACCATTGTGACTGGTTGCTGTTGCCAAGATACATATTTTCTGTTGATAGGTATAGGAAAGTAAAGTGGTGCCAAGAATCACATCCCCAAATGAATAAAATAAAAACATCTCCCCCATTATTCTAAGAAGTGTTTTGATCAAGGTATACTTCTAAAGAGATTGCTTAGTCAAAAAACTTTTTTAAAAACTGTAGTTACATTTTATGACATTTAACAGAATTTTACTCTCTTGACAAAAAAAATTTGTCTACCCATTTTTAAAATTGCTGTTAAGAATGTATAATTGTAAGGGCAAAGAAAGGAGATTTATAAATACTCATTTTTTAAAAAAAATTATTATTTTTTTTGTTTTTTTTTTGTTTGTTTGTTTTTTTCCTGGTACCAGGAATCGAACTAACGACCTTGCGTTTGCCAGGCAGGTGCTGTGCCGCTGAGCTAAATCCCCAGCCTCCTATAAATACTCATTTATGGCATTGTAACTTTCCCAAATTGAAGGAGCCCTTTTGAACATGTGGTATTAGAGTAAAATCTTAAAGTAATTTAAGAAACCTCTCTGCTTTTTGGTGTAGGGAACATTTTTATTTGTCAGAGTAGTGGCATCACTGGATTAGTAACCACAGATGGAAATTTTCCATGAGGAAATGACATGACAGTTTAATTTTTCTTTGAATAGTGTGATGAATTTTGACTGTTCAGTTGTCTGTCCCCTTTTTAAAAAAGTATCAGAAGCCTAAATTTTTCTTGAAAAAAATTTACCATCTCCTTCTTATATTTTAACCATATGGTGGCCAGGTAACAAAGACTACTACTGTTTGGTCTGTATAGCCCAGCCAGCAAGAGGACAACGGTGATTCTAGAGAAAAGATGTATAAAGACTTTTCTGAAGAAAAGGAATTGTTGGTTTTTCATTGTTTTGGTTTTGGAAGAAATAAAAGTTGTAGTAAGTTCAAGGATACTTACTTTTTGCAGCAGTGGATAGATGAGGCTGTGTGGTATTCAGATGTGTCCCAGAGGCTTTGTCTTATTCCAAGCAGCTTTCTCCTCTTGTACAAATCTGTCTGGCCATATCGATAATGGCTAAGAGGGAGTACCTAGTTTCAGGTGTTAATCTCTCCCCTACAGTTTAGGAATTTGTTTTTCTACATGTAGGTCAGCCCTGTACTCATAAATTTTCATCAAGTCAGTGAAAGTGGACATTAATAGATGTTGAATTGGATCTTCTCAAAGCTCCAAACTCATGCAAAGGCTGGGGAAAACCGCAAAACTGTGTGATAGAGGAGAAGCTCCATATGGAGCAGAAGTTACACCAGCACCCAATAGCAGAATGCTTTCCATTTAAGGCAAAAAATAAACACATGAAACCTGGAACTTGTGTAAATAGTCACAAGAATCAACTTTTTCAAATGCCTCACTCTGTGACACCCCCCCCTCCGCATTCTCTTCAGAAATGCCAGACACAAAAACTGAAGATGAAGTGGATTTTCTGAATAAGACCAGATCAAGTTCAGATTTTGACCCGGTGGCTGTAGGGAATGGAGCTCCTCCTGCCCCTAAGATGAAACAAGGCCCAAAGACCCATGTGGTAAGTGACGTCAAGAACACTATATGGACGTAGAATGTGTTTATTAGCTCTCTGCTGTGTCTGATTTATGGCCTAGATTTTTGTTGTACAGGGACACAAGAGTATTTTACCTTCTCTCTTGTTCTATTCTAGAACTGTGGATGTGTGATAAGCTTTCATAACTAAATGATGTATACCACACCGCAAAGGTTTGAAGTAGGCTCTCCTACATGAATCTCTTGGAGATCATGATGAAATATATGTTCCCTATGAACATAAGACACTGAAATTTGTCATCTCCACACTTGAAGTGTGCTACAGTGAGAATCATCACAAAAAGGGATCTATTAACTCTTCTTAAACTTTTCTTTATATAGAAACAGATAGCAAAAATGAGGTTTTACTTTATATCTCTGTAGTAACCATCTAAAATACAAAGTACTGTATGTCATTTTTAGTGAAGAAAAAAATAGTTTTAATCCTAACACCTTTATTGGGATGTGACTTATTATAAAATTCAAATGAAGTACACCCATTCAAATAAAGTGCACCCTTCAGTGGTTTTTAATCTCTTTGAAGCTTGTGCAACTGCCATCACTATTCTTCTAATATGACATATCATCGCCTTAAAAAGAAACCCTGTGCCCACTAGCTGTCCACCTCTCCCCAGTCTCCTTCTCCCAGCTTTTAGCAGTCACTAATAGACCTTCTGTGTCTATAGATTTGCCCGTTCTGGAACTTCATGTAAATGGAATTACACAATATGTGGTCTTTCATGACTCATTTCATTCACTTAATGTCGTATTATCAAGGTTCGTCTGTGTTGCGGAATTGGTCATTATGTCATTTCTTTTAATTGCTGATTAGTCCATTGTATGGATATATTACATTTTGTTACATATTTGGATTGTTTTCATTTTTTGAGAAATGCAATACTAGTATGAACATTTGTGTGCAAGTTTACTTGGACATGTTTTTTACATATGTGCCAGTGGAATTGCTAATTGGGTTATATGTAGTAATTCTGTACTTAATATTCAACAGGCTTTTAAAAATTTATTTCTCCTGGTTTGAAACCATTAATTTTTAAAACAAGGGAACTTAAACATGTTGCTCTACTTAGGGCTTTAGATTTTACCTGGTCAAAGAAAAAACTGAAAATCAAGTTAGTGGACTAACTTGGACTGCCTGTTGAAAATACACTCTTTCCTAGCTAAACTTGACAGTTGTACCATTTTTGCTTTTTACAGGGCTACGTGGTATTTTTTTGGTATTTTTTTCTTCAAATTATCCCAGTAGGTATAAAGAGCATTATTGTCCCTAGCATTTAAGTGTGTGAAGTGATAAACAGGCCTCATTTTATTGGAGTACAGTGGTATGAAGGTTCTGACTGTTCTGACCCACCCCTCGTGACAGATAATACTCATGACTCATGCCTGGGTGGCTACTTGTATGGCAGGCATTTTTCAGATGAATGTTGCTTTTGCCCATAAAGGAAGAAAAGAGAGCACACCCCATATGGGTGCATGTGTCTTTGTTTCTAAAGCCCCTCAGAAAGGAAGGAACAGACCCACATCCTTGAATTGGAATTGTTCTTACTTAGGTCTCCCATCTTTTTTTAAAAAATTAATTTTATTTGTACATTTTAGACATACAAAATAATACCATTCATCATAGGAAATTTGTACCTGTATGTGATACAGCTTTGTTCTTCTCTTTTTCCCTTTCCCTCCCTTCCCTTCAACCCCACCTCCCCTCATTTATGAAAGGTTTGTTTCCATTTTTTCCTTCTATTCTTCTTTCCTTTTTCCTTCCTTTCTTTCCCCCTCCCCCCTTCCTAGTTCTCATTCCCATTTGAACATTTTCTTCTTATTTAACAGTATCTGTTACACATTTTGGTCCTCATTCACACTTTCAGTTTCTCACACCAGAGAAACCATGTGATACTTGAACATGTGTGTCCACTTTATGTCGCTTCAGAGTACACTGTCAAGGTTCATCCATTTACATCATTTCTCCACCAGCAGTGGAGAAGGGTTCCTTTTTGCCCACAGCCCCACCAGCATTTGTTATTGGTTGATGTCTTAATAATAGCCATTTTTTCTAGAGTGAGATGGAATCTCAACATTGTTTTAATTTGCATCTCTCAAATGACCAGTGATGTTGAACATTTTTTCATGTATTTATTTGCTGTTTTTACTTCTTCATTTTGGAAGTGTCTATTTCAGAAGCCCATTTTTGGATTGGGTCTTTAAATTTGGGGGTCTGATTATCTTGAGTTCTTTATATATTCTAGATATTATTCCTTTATCTGAGAAATAGCTGGCAAAAAGTTTTTCCCACTGTGTGGGTTGTTTCTTCACTCTGTTGGTGATTTCTTTTATAGTACAAAAGCTTTTTTAATAAGATGCAATCCCAGTTGTTGATTCTTTGGGATAGTTTCTGTGCGATTGGAGTTTTGTCCCTAAAGTCTTTGTCTACACCTGTGTCTTCAAGAGTTCTCCCCATTCTATCTTCCAGCAGCTTTAGTGTTTCTGTTTTAATATCTCCATCTTGATTTCGTAGTGATTAGTGTCCCTGAATCCCATCTTGTGCTTATTTCTAAACCCATTACTTTCTGATTAGGGATATTTCTATTCCAGTTTTGTCTATTATAAAGAAAAAAAACCTTTCTGTTAAAGTTTGTTCACTCCCAGTCCCTTTCTTTTCCCATTTTTCCTCTAGCTTGAGGAGTTGAGATAGATAATTTTCCTCTGATTGCTCAGTATGCCTCATTTCCAGATAAAAGAATAGACCCTGGAGAGTCTTATGAGTAGCTCAAGATCAGACCCAGCTGGAAAAAGAGTTTGGGGTTTGACTTAGAACCTAAAACTTACATTAATGGCTTATTGCTCCCTGACTACCTTGGACTCTGTGATTGGTGAAGGCATTTTAAGGAGCATTGAAACCCTGCAATTTGTTTTTTGGTGGGGGAATCTCTATGCCTTATGCTTTGTGTCTGCATCCCCCTGATATAGTTGGAGAAAGTATGGCAATAGGAGTATCAGGGAGGGGTGTCTTTGGTTAGTTGTTAGCTTTTGGGGGGCCATTACTGGGAATTGAACCATTGCCTTTGCACTTAGCCACAATTTTAGCTTTATTTTTATTTTATTTTATTTTATTTTAATTTTGAGACAGGGTCTAGGGGTTTTGGGAAGTTAGCCAGTCAGGCTTATACTTACACTTTACTGCTTCATCTTCCCAGACTGCTGGTTATAGATATGCAGCAGCATGCCCAGTAGATTTTTAGTTCTCGAAGGCTTTCAGGTTTGAGCAGTGGAGATTTTTGCTATCACAATGTGAAATCTGACCTCTCTTCCCTTTTGCTGTGCCTGACTCTCCCTGTTTGGTTCAAAGATAAGATGTGACATACACTTTAATTTTTCCTTTGTCTTATGTTCTCTCTTTTCTGATATTTCTTCATATATTAATATGTTCAATTAGTCAAAAGAGAGTAGTTGGTAGGCAGTTCTTTTTTGTAAAGGACAGGGCAAATAAACATTTTAGACTTTGTGGGACATACAGACTATAAGAGCTGATCAACCAATATGGTGAACGTGTAAAATTTAAGAAAAAACTATAACAGTTAAAGACACAGTGGCATCAGTCTCCCTCAAAATACTCCCCCTTGCTTGAACACACCTATCATTTTTGCCATTTTCTGAAGCAGTTGTCGAAGTCTTTTGTATCATTGCAAGATGTGATCAGACACATAGTGAATGATGCTAACAAGTTCCGTCCAACAGAGAGGCAGGCTCGTAAAAGCATTGCAGGGTGTTCTCATCTACTTTATTCACCAGATCTGGCACTGTGTGGCATCTGGCTCTTCCCCAAAGTCAAAGTGACTGTGAAAAGTAAACATTGAATCCATTCAGGACATCAGGACAGCCACATAGTGCAACTAAAGACATTCATTAAAGACAATGGGATAGGTATGTTTGAAGCAAGGAGGAGTTTTTTGAGGGGATTAATGATAGTGTATCTCTTCCTGTAGTACAGTGGTTCCTTGGGTCATAAATGTAAATTATTTTCATAATTCTGATTGCAAAATGAATTGGACAAGAACTAAGTCAAATTTTCCCATAAGATCAACATTGAACCTAGCTATTGAATTTAATTCATTTCTCACCCAATTTGCTTTGTGGCCAGAATTGTGGAAAGAATTACATTCATGAACCAAGATATTGCTATAACTTAAAAATTTAAACATTCATCATATTTTTCAATCATGCCATTCTTGGAAACTTTCAGGTTTGAATAGTTAACTTTGCTTATATAATGTGAAAGTAGCCACAGACAGTATAAAAACAAACAGGTGTGACTGTTTCAATAAAATCATATACATGGATACTGACATTTAAATCTTGTAAAAATTTTATGTGTCATACAATACTCAGTGTTTGTATTTTCCTTCCAATCAATTATAAAAGTAAAACTAAGATTTTTCAGTGGCTATACAAAAATAGGCAATGAGCTGCTGGTACATTTCTTCTTGCATTCCCCTCCCCTCTTCCCCTCTCACTTCTCCTTTCCTCTCCTACCCTTCTCTTCTCCTCCTCTCCCCTTCTGAACTGCATGGGGAGCAAGGAGTTCCACTTCTGTCTCTCCTGGGCTAGCTTCTTGACTTAGTATCTATAGAGCTGAATTTCCTTATCTCTGTTCATCTTCTCAGCCTTAACCTTCTGAAATCTGTGTTTGCTTTTAGAAATGAGTTAGTTGAACTTGCAGCTGTACTTTTGGATGGAGTGGCATTTATTTAAAATTATTATTCTGATCTTTCTGACACATACCCATTCTATGTGTTGGCTACAGAATAGGCCAGTCATTGCTTCGTTGTCTCATTTTTGCAAATATAAAAGAGAACATGTGTGATAAATCTTCAGGAATAGCATGCACATATCTTATACTTTGCTACCAGGTTGACAAACTAGAATGACACTGAATTTGTGGCAATTTTCTGGTAAATGTGAAGAATTCCTATG